TTTTTTTTAATTCTGCAAAAACGGATTCAATTTTACACCACTTACACTACAAGTAAATACATCATTGTCCTTGTAAACTCATCTTGCAAACACTAAAACAGGATTCATTTTAATTTTTAATTTAAAACAGTCAGAACTTTGATTTCTTTTTCTCTTTTCTTTTTTCATTGTGAACAACTAACAATGAATTGACAGGACGGTAATTCCTGTACCAAAATACTGAAACCTTAAATAGTCAATCTTAAAAATACAGTATGTAAAATTACGAAAACAAATTTGTAGGCGATGTCTTTTGATTAAATCAGAGAAAATTATGTTTTCTTGTTTGAGACAGTGAAATAAAACGTTTTCACTATTTTTGCCTGGAAAAAAAGGATGAGAAGATAACATAGTCAAAATAGTTGCCTGTCATCTTTCTGTCTGTTAAATGACTAATCGATCTATTACTTTGCCTATAATGTTTTCAATCAATTTAAAGTGAGGATTGAAAATAAGAATATGTATATACACTCCCTCCCTGTACTCTATAGCTGCAGATAGATACTGTACAGACTCTTCAGCATACCGGACATTTTATCTGAATGCTTCAGTGGTAATTCTGACATTATTCATCATCTCAGAGCAAACATTTAAAATCACTGCTGGCCTATGATTTTCTAGTGTCTTTATAACTAATATGCTCCATTATGGAAAAGCAGTTTTTCTATTTATCACAGGGAAGCAGAGGAGAAACTTAAGCTCAGTTCTGAACTCCTCCTAAATATCTTCAGCAGCTGCAGGATGTAAATCAAGTGAAGTCTGACCTCCTCGCTGTAAGTCACGCTATATGGAAAGGTCTGCTCCATCCCCCGCATTTCATCCCCTCGTACGATTTTGAAAAATCTAGCTCGGAAGCTGAGTTTGTCCGGTATGGCATTCTTTCACACACACTTTGGCAAACGCATCTGACACATGGAGCTGGCTTTACTTTTATCTTGCTGCAGTTGTTTGTCAGTTTGATCGAGCGTCATTGCACAAGTGATTTCTAAGTGTGTCATACATTTTTTTCATATATATTATTTATATCTGAAAAGGGTAAAATAACAATATCCAATACAGTTGATTGTCCCTGATGATGATTGACGAGTTGATCCGTTGTTATGTACATACATCTTTAGAAACTTGAATCACAAAGTCACATTTTTACCTGTTTCAGTGCAGCTGCATTAAGTTGCATACAAAGATTTTACTGAGCGTGAGTCATAACTGCAGCAGGATTACAATCAAGCAAGAGAGTTTAATCTCTGATTTGGTTAAATTGAATCTATGTTAAAAAATAATCTGTCTAATCTCAGTCTCATTTGCAGATTAGAAGAGGCAGATGAATAAAAAATGTATGTGAGCATTTTATATGATTTATTTTAACATGCTAGACATCAGATATGATTTGCATGTTTATCTGCCGAAGTCGTTTAAATATTCAGGACCACCAAAGGGCAACAACAGCAGGAAATTATGTTAATTTCTTTGCATCAAATCCTGCTATTGTGAGCATATGATGACAGAAGATCAAGCAGCTAATAAACAAATAAACAAGAAGTTGGCTCTCAGGGTCAACACAGAATCACAAAGAGCGTGCACGACCAGACGAAGAGCACTGAGGTGGCGTCAAGCTTCCAAAGCTCGCAGCACATTTAAAACTGTGTTGACACTCGCTTCAGAATTGTAAAACAGGCGCGTAAACTCCTAAATGTCACGGATGTTATTTGGTGTCTCCTTCTTTTGTTTAGCTTTTCACCTTTAGTTTTGCTTTCACCTGAAGATTCCTGCAGTGGCAAGTAGTCAAAAATGAAACAAGACTTTTCTGCCAGAAGCTCCTTTTCCCTTTTTTTGCACAATGTGTTTATGCTGCAGGGGCACAGTCAATGAAAGGTCAAGCCTCCTGTGGAGACTCTATAAATAGAGCCAACCAGACTTTGCTGTAACATCAAACTAATGCAGCTGTAGCTGAATTGATTTGGTTCATTTGGAGGAGAACTGCAGGGTGACTTTCATAGTGCAATCACAGAAGGTAGTGTAATGCAGCAGAGTATGAGTGAACACGCTGTAGTGTTGGGAAGAGGAGGGACTGACTAGAAATCAGCAGGGGCCACACAGAAGTGAGGGGAAAAAGTTTTCTTATATCTATCTTGAGCCCTTTTTTAGACATGAACTTTTCTGACTGCAGCAAGAGATAGTCGAGGTTAAAACGCGTTCACAACAAATTCTGCTGTGATGCAAACGGCCAAGTCGCTGCAACTTATTTGAGAATTTTCACATCGACCCCCTATCGCCAAAAGGTCTTGGATCTCATTGTCTGTCCGATTGTCATCAATATGCCCTGTGGATTTTCAGGACCTTATCATGGTGTGTTCACACGGGCTCACTCAGACATTTTACATTTAATAAAGCAGCTGGCAGGAAAAGTCCAAGAAAATGTCCAGAGCAACTGACTCGGACATTTGCTGCCTCACAAACAGCCCCTCTGGAAAAATGTTCATGAAAAAGCCAGACTTCACTTCATGTCTGAAAGCAGCCTTGTGTGTTTCCTATTCCTAGCATATGAACTGCTGTAAGAAGAAGAAAACAACTCTATTTTCCATTAACTTGTCCATTATCTGTTATTGTTCAACATCAAACATCATGTCATCCATACAAATGACCATCAGCTGCTGCTGTGCTGCAGTTTATTTTGTTCTGTTCCACATCTTAAATCATTTGTCAGAAGTGGGTACTAATGGCCTCTCTGGATTAACTCCATAACCACGGCACGTTTGTCATATTTATGTGCCGTTTGAAATGTTGAGGACTGTCCCTGTTTTAGCGGCTATAACCTTCAAACACTAAAATGGATTGTGTCTTTTTAAATAGTATGTAAGATGATTAATAGACATTATAAAACTAAGAGTTTTACCAGAATATGAAAGATCAAAATATGTAAATCTTAAAAAGCACCGAATCAAACACAGTTCTGTGCCTAAATGAACAAAGTGATAAAACAATAAAGTGCATTTTTAATGTGGAGCCAAACTTGTTCTGCCTCTGCCTTGACTTTAAAGTAAGTGCACTTTCAGAAGGTTCAGTCTAAGGTGCTTTGGTTCAAAGGAGAGAGATTTTCTCTAGCCTCATGTCAAGGGGGAGAAAATCTGCAGTGGACAAACGTTCAAGGTTGGATTTCTGTTCTCTCCTTTTACTTTGTGTTTGAGTCAGGAAAAAGAATTCAGAAATGAAAAGCTCCAGAGTGGTGATCCACGCCCTGCATGTGCTAAACATGCCCCCAAACAATGTTTTATATTGTAATACATTTTATAATTTATAATGATGTCCTTTATTCCATATGATTCAGTGTGAGTTCTTCATGACATCAAATAGATTTCGATTGTTTCTCTATTATTTGCAGAGATCTTGTTTTTTGGACCATCATTTCATCATTTTCTTGAACTTTACCTCAGACCTTTGACCTATTAGCTCTAAAAGTGAGTCATCTGGAGATGCCCTCCCAGTTAATATTCTTACCAAGATTAGTAAAAATCCATCCATGCATTGTTGAGTTATTTTACACACACACACACATTAATGTGGTGTTATGAGTAACATATTCATTATTAATATTATTTATGACTCTGGATATTTTATTTCACTGTGTGTTTAATGTCTTATTTTATTCATATTCCTGCTTTGTATAGTCACAGTGTTGATATTAGCACAGAGTTGCTCCTGGGAGAGAGATATTGCACCATCCATAGGGAAACCATTACCACTCTAAAAGTAATGTAATCTCACAGGTTTATTCCTGACTGATAATGGTTTCAACACTGAAGGTTTGATTGAATGTAGAAAGATAAGTTTGAGGCTTGAGAAAGATTGGAGCAGGAGACATTTTCATTCCTGCGGGTCTGAAGCATAAATTGTCCCAGCCACTGCATACTGTGCATTTTTGTTCTGCACGCTGGACTCTTAATATATCTTATTTGAGTGAATAGATGGCTGCTGGAGGAATGTAAGATGTCATCTTCTTAAAACTGCACACGTCACTTCATGATTTACAGCACTGGTTCGTCCTCGTCGTAGGGATTAACTCTCTCTCTGCTTTTGAGAAATGATGAACCGGTGACCCGCTGCCCTGTTATGACACCAGCTTTGATGATTTATGAATATTTACTGTCAGTGTATTTTGGATGAATTGGGGCTGATGGAGCCATTTATTTTAAAATACTTCCTTATCCTCAAATAGTTTGTTTCGTCTCCTCGGTGCATTAATAAGAAGATGTCCACTGGTTGTCTGGAGTTATGGTGCCCATACACAGATTGCACAGGAGTGGGGTATGTAAGTATATGAAACGGACCAGCATTAATAGCTCCCATTCATTTCCTGTGTGATTGCTATTGATCTGCCAGAGGCTGCGTCAGGAGGAGCTGAGTGCAAAGCTCTGTGATACATCATGTCATCCAAACATCCGTAGTAGGAAATACCAAGATTTGCCGACTGTATGGAATCTCAGGGGCTTTTTATGCAGATACAGATTATTGTGATTGATGGGAGGGGATTTATTTTGTCATTTTTCTTTTTCTGTTTCGATTGTTTTTCAAATGAAGGGATAAGCGCTTTCCTAGATGGAGAGGTAGAGTGGAATATATCAAAAGAAAAATAATAAAAGCTGGCAGTGGAGGAGCTTGGTCAGCAGAATTTTCGTGTGTGTGCTTTGGATGTGACGGAGCACCACCAGGCTGATTGAATTTCAGATTATGCTTACCTATCACAGTGTATCTACATTCTGTCTTCATTCTGCCAGTGGAAGCTTTGTTTTGTCGGGTCGAGTATTTTATCCAATGCAGCCTCTGGCACCTGATCAACGCTCGTCTCTACTACTTCTGATAATGACCATTAACGGCCCCCTCCTTTGCAGGAAAGGCAAATATACAGTATATTTACATGCATGACTCAGCGTGCTATCTGTCCCCGCCACATCTGTGTCCTCCAGGAGGCGCTAGGGGAGAATGCAGGCGTCCACGGCCCAGCAGAGGACAGGAAGGAGAAGGTACCCAGCCCCCATCTCAGTCAGCTGGTGGTCCTCACCAACAGTGGGACTCTCTATGGGCTCGCACAGAGGGTGGTGGCCACTGAGTCTCTGTAAGTACACAATACAACACACAAATGATCCCTTTGCAGTAAAATGATTTAAAGGTACACTATACAACTGCAGCCACTAGAGGTCAATCATAACAATACCACAAAGACCTAGATTGATGATTTCATGAAGCAAGTGGGATCATGGGAATTGTTGTCTTCTCCACTTATGCTTATGGATGAGGTAATGTATTAAAGTATATCTGAATAATCGTGATACATTACAAGTGACCAATACAAACAGTGGAGGGAAAAGAAAATGGAAACGTTCCATTACCCTGAATTGTTTGAACATTGTTGGAATCATTTTGGATAATGTAAGTCAACAACACAAATAATATAGGTCTAGTTGTTTTGAGTCTCAAGTCGTCACTTTTGTGTACGTCCTGTGTGATGTGCACCGAGTTGATAGTTCTGTTCATCAAAGTATTTTCTCTGATCGAGTTAAGAGAGTATTTCTCGCTCACTGCCTCGCCTCAAGGTGGTCATAATTTCATTAGACGGTGTTATACAGCTCAGCCCTCAAAGATTTACTCTACCTGCAGCGTGAACTCGCTGTGTGTGACACTTTCATTATTCGCATCAATAAAGCTTGTTGAATTGTAAAGAAAAAAGGGGAAAATAGAACGAAGAGACTTATATTACCCTTAAATGTGATTCCTTGCTTCCTCCCTATAAATTACAATTTGTGTTAAACCCACACAATTTGTCTCCATGATTTATTTTCTTTTTCTTGCCTCTGTCGTTTTTCTCATCTCCTCCCTCATTCCATTCTACAGTCACACACTAAACAAAAGCGCCCTCATACATAATTAGGTCAAACTATCATCATTGCAGACAAAACTCTTGGATCCCGAGAGGTTGGCGGAGTACAACAGCTCTATAATAAAGTCTGTAAACCATTGGCCCAGACAATCCTGCTGCGAAAAGTGCTGAATAGGCTCAGAGTCTCTCACCCAACATTTCTCATGAGTGGGAGGAAGCAACAAGCTTGAGAATTATGAAAACAAAAGAGCTAAAGTGCAGAAGTGGAGATATTTCTCTTTGTGGAGGAGAACGAGTTCATTCTGAGCAGTATCTGTCAGAAAATGTATCATTGAAAGGTGCAGCTCGCCTCAGTATTCATTTTAAGAAGCTTTGACATCATCAGCAGGAAAAACACAGAGCTGCTCGAGTGTTTCGCCGTCCTGCCGCCCAGAGCAGAAATCTAAGATAAGAGCTGAGAGGAGTGGTCCTCTTGCTGATGTTTGCCCCCCTAGCTGTTGTTCAGGTGTTGTATTTATACAAGCGTGATCAGATAAGTGTGAACTACAGGGTGTGCTCTTTTTTCTCCAGACTGCACCATGTTGTCGAGGTAAACACAAGCTGTTCCAGCCAATCTTAATGTAATTTTCTCTGCTCCATGAAAAGAAAAACTGTGGACTGGGCTCATTTGTTGGTGTGTGTGTGTGTGTGTGTGTGTGTGTGTGAGTGTGAGTGTGTGATGTCGTGCTTTCAGATTCACGGCTCTGTTTTACCAACACCTATCGTTAAGCATCTGGAGTAAGGCATCTCTGAATTCACTTTTAATGAATTCACATTAATGTCCAGAAGGCCAAGTTTGCTGCGGCAGACGCATGATTCAGAAGAGTTTTAATTAATCTCTAAACTAATCTTAATCTCTGATTTATCATGACTGGGATTTTGGTCTAACACGTAATAAACCTTAATAATTGGCCTTAAAATGACTTAAAACTCTGAGCCACAGACTTCAGACCAGATAAACACTGTGCATCATTACAATTTATTTGAGGACCGACCAGCATGTTTGTGTTTGAACAACCCGGGTTCTGGACGATGATGATGTTCAGACCATATTATGATGCTACTGTGCTGAATTAAACGCCTGTCTTTTTTTTTTTTCACAGTGTGTTTCTGGCTGAACAGTTCGAGTCCCTCCAGTCCCACCTGGACACGATGATGCCTGCAGCCAAGAAGCCTTTCCTGCAGCAGTTTTACTCCCAGGTACCTTATCTCTGAAGTGTCTGAGTAATTACAGCCACCGTTCATCGCTGTCAGCCACAGTAAAGACTGTACCAAACATAATGTGATACAGACAGCTTTATTTATTGATTTATTTGATTTATTTATTTATAGATAACCGATACTGTTAAATGGAATGGATCATTTTATTCATATTTTAATACTTATACACCAATTAAAACATACTCTATACAGTATCTTTCCTGTTTTTTTTGTCACCTTATTTATGCTTTTTAGTTTTGTGTGACAATATATTTCTCCTCGGAGACAAATGAATTTGTAACTGCTACCCAGTCGTGCTCCCTGAACAAAGGAGAACATTTTCCGTCACTCATAACCCTGCGTGCAGCTCTATTCTAGTCTTCTCTGTTATTGTTTGTTGTTGTTTTTTGTCCTCTTGACATTTTGAAATGTTCAGGTACACAGACAAGTCTGTTTTCCCCCAAACATCAAGTAAATGTCACGTCCTGTGATTTTACTCTTGGAAATGTTATTGTAATTACAATTATGCAATTGATGACTTCATGTTACCTGCACAACATGTTCATGCCTGTGTAGACCTTCACTCTATGTCTGAACACATTTATTTTTTTTCTTTAACCCAGACGGTTTCTACAGCCAGTGAACTGCGGAAACCGATCTACTGGATCGTGGCGGCCAAGGCCATCGACTACGAACAAATGTTGCTCATGATGTCCGGAGTTAAATGGGACATCAGGGAGATAATGTCACAGCACAATGTATATGTGGACGTCCTTTTAAAGGTACGTTTTCATAAACATGCACACAACTGTAGTAGTGTTGAATAGGGAAACAAGCAGTGGGTTTTTGTAACTTAAATGATGCAGATTTAATGTTTAAAGCAGCAGTAAAATATAATTGATATTTATTTATGACATTCATCTAATATGGTGGTGAGAGTAAATCAAAACAATGAGCTGAAAGTTACTAAAACAACTGCTGGGTCAGAAAAATGTGTTGTCGTCACTTTGACTTAAAATATAAAAATATTGATTAGTGCAATAAAGAATACAAACTGATTTAAATTCCCAAGACCACTATCCATGTGCTGCTTATTTGATCCTTAATTTGACTGTATTAAGCATCAGTTCAGATATTTATGGAGACATCAGCGACTGATCCATTTGACCGATCTGGTCATCAAACAACACGGCACCTCGTGTGCCAAAACTTTCTGAGTTGTTCCACTTGAAGAGGCATTCTTAGGAATTTTGCTTGTTTGGAACAAATTTTTCAGATTATTTTGACACCACATAAACTGACAATTAGTTGCAGTGTATATTGACAATATATATATATATATATATAAACTTTAAGAAGTCTTACGTTCTTTCTTGTACCTCACAAGTTTAAATTTATTCAAGGACTTTTTTTATATCAATTATTTGGGACGGGGTGAATAATTTAGAACATGGATGAGCTGTTGAGGGCTGAATGCAGATCTCCCTCTGAAGTATCAGCAGTGTTAAAGATATTTGAGCTCCCTGCTCCCTCAAGTATTTTTGGATTTGGAAGTTTCCCACTAAATGTGTCTTTATGCAGGCTGGCTACTTATCCCTTTATAAATTTTGCATGGGGTGGAAAGACACACAGTGCTATAGTTTCCTCGCCTCTGACGTTCAGAGAGAGAAGGTCTGAAGAAGTCACTGTGGTGTGAAATCCTGAACAGACCAGCACCAAAACCGAGACAAATCCCGGTGTACTGCCATGCATCAACAAGTCTGAGAAATCTGTTGATTTAATCACACACGTTAAATGACAGATGTTGTTTAAATCCGTGGAAAATGAATATGAATGAATATTCAGGCTTGAGTTCACAGTCAAAAGTTGTCCGTGTCTGGTAAATGGCTTGTAGATCTTTGTCTGGCTGTGGCAGCATGGTTAAGCCGAACTAATTAAGCTTATGAGCTAAATGACCTGAGGGAGGATTTCTGTTTCACTGGCCTGGTTCTAAAAGCTGTACCATGTCAAAACGATCCAGCTGATGGACTGACGTGCTGCATATTACAACTGGCATGTACCTTTCCCCGTCAAGCTCAAATAGCCTTTCTCTGCCGAATTGTCAGACGCCCATAATACATATGGATTGTGTTGTGTGAGCTGATTGAAAAGGGTGTGCTACATTTGGTTTCACTGCACACAGGACAATATTTTATTCATGGGTTCAGGTTGATCACTGGTGTTCAACAATGGCATTGATTTGCATACAAAGTGGCAAACAAATGCAGCAGCCTCAGAATGACTTCATTGACAAAATGCTTAAGTCAGAAACTAATGCAGGACTGTTTGTGAATGAGTAACATTTCATTCCACGGTGTGAAATTAATTGGAAAGGTGGCCTTAAATATTCAGGGTTTCATCAAACATAATTATCAAACATAATTATAGTCATGTGGCATATATATATACACACACACACACACACACACGCATACACACACACTGGAAAACTAGAAGCTTTACTCTGGACACATTTACGAGCACAGTCCTTGTGTTGCAATTTGTTCCTGTTATACAGCCACATGTCATATATTATAATTCCATCCATAATTAAACATTTCAGAGAAAGCAGTTAGATAAAGTTCAGGACTAGTTTATACTACATGTACCTAAATGCCAACTGTGGATGTACTGAAAGAGGTTGCCTGCACGTCAAAATGTTAACAAATGAGTTGAGTTGGGATGTTCCCAAACCAGAGTGAAGCGTCCCGCAGTTTTAACACCTGTGTCATGCCTCTGTGGATTCATACCTTCCGTTTCTTTTCAGCACTTTGGGATGTTTCGTTTCCATCAGTACCGACCACAAAATCATGAAAATCACTTAGTCAAATCAGACCCAGATCTGCTGCAGGCTTCTTACTCCAGAGGGACAAAAAGGCATTTTGGTTTCATGTGTTTGATTTCATTGATCTGATTTACCGCTATATTTGTTATTTATAAAGAAGAGATAGATTTAAACCCCTAATGCAGTTTATTCCTCACAGAGTTTAAATGATTGGGTTGTGCAATTCACAGCGTGAGGTAATTTAGAACCTTACGATTTAAGACTGGGAGAGCTGGCGTTGGGACTGACCAAGAACACGGAGCAGCTTCGAGTGAATTCAGGGAAACACACTGCTGCTGATGAACACTTTAATCTTGTTATCGTTTCCATCTGGGAACCAGAGATGTATTAGTCCTACTCGGGCATGTTTCCTGTTTTTTAAACATACTTTATATCATGGTTTTGTCTTTGTAATACAAGTTTATCCCTCTGTATCAGTAATGGTAACCCCACCTCTTGATCTCTGTTATTTCTCCTGCTTTGTTTACATATTGCTCATGTTATATCTCTCATGTTGTCACTCCTTCATCTCCTCAGGAGTTTGAGCAGTTTAACAAGCGGCTGGGTGATGTTTCCAGACACGTGCGCATCCCGCTGCCTGTGTCCAACGTCCTTTGGGAGCACTGCATCCGTCTGGCCAACAGGACTCTTGTTGAGGGGTAAGAGAACCATAAAACACCTCCTCAGCTTCAAGGTGATGTGTCATTCTGTGGAAGCTGTGGCCAGAGCTCTTTTTTTATACTTTGAATTATTATTAAACCTCCAGTAGAAAGATAGAAAGATTTCCTTGTGCACAATGTTTTTCCATTCAATTTCTTTAGTAAACATTGACTCTGAAGTTTAAACAAAAATATTGAATTGAATTTAGCTTTTGGAAAGTTTCATGCGTGCAAATAATAGACTGTTACATAAAGATCGACGACATGACAGCTCCTCAAAAGTGAAGCCAAAGTGATTTGATTGCCAGCTGGTGGCTGGCAGCAGTATAGGTCACAAACTCTGCCTTGATCATGTTCCTTGATGGGACATGGACCAGACTAAAAGGTCAGAGTACACGTCAAATACATTTTTTTAAAGGTTTGTGTATAAGGTTGTTGTTATCAAACCAGATTGACAGCTGAGATTGATTAGCTATGGTCAAGCATGCGTATAGGTGAGACCTCGCTTCTGGGCTCCATCCCTGATCGCTATACTGCAAAGACTCGCTGGTGCTTCATTTCTGGATAGTGGGAGGAAATGGAGACGTGTTATCCATCTTTAGATATCTATGCTGAAAACACATTATCCTTGATATACTTGAAAAGGTAATGGGCTATATAAGAACGTGTGTTGTATATTGACACAGTTATGAACACATTACAGCTTATAAGCAAAAGCCATGTGGACATTTCAAAGATTTTTGTGGGATTTTGATTCTTGTAACTTCGAGTGATGGCTTCTCTGCACACTTTGTGGATTTCTGTTTATTCCAGATAAGCGCACTCAAGGCCTAAGAGTCCGGGCTGCACTACGACCTTGGTTGATCTTGTCGCGCTAGTTTGTAAGCAATATGGAATCTGTTTATATCTGTGAAGGTGAAATTTACTAGAAGCATTCTCAGTATGAAAGAACATTTACTGTATTTCTGCCCACATTTCTTTTCACTGTGGTCTTTACATGGAAATGATGCCTGTTGGTTGCAGCTCCTATAAATGTATTTATTCATAAGTATAGGACTGTATAGAATAGTCAGCATCTCTTTACAGACATGAATACAACTATTATTGATACTTTTATCAGTGTAGTAACAGAGGAAAGGTTTTTGTGTATACAATATATTCATCAGCAGATTTTCAAGGTTAATTAAGTTGATATGTAATTATACTGCTTTTAAAGGGAGAAGGGCACAAAACAAAAAAATCATGAATAACTGTCCTGTTGCTGCAGCCAAATGCTGAGCAGACCTTTAGAGCAGTGGTGTTATTTATTAAAAACCATCAGGGGGCTGGAAATTTCACTTTCTTGTTCCTTTACTCTTTGGTTACAGTCATAAATCGTGTTTCTAAACTTGTGTACAGATACCAAACAACACATGTGATTCATCACATCTTAGTGATTTGAGACAACCCCCCACCATCACATCTTTACAAAAAAAAAACACCCAGATAGTGACCAAGGAGAAAAGTGTTATTTTTCTCTTCACATCTTCATTTTTTCTCTCTGTTTATCTCGCAGTTTGAACATCTGCACATCGTAAATTAGAAAAAGAAAATTCTTTCCAAGGCATGTTGTCAAGCACTGGGAGGAACAGAGGAAATCACCTAAACTACATCAGAAACCTGAAGACTCAGTTGCCAGGTTTTTTTAGATTTATGTCTCCAGAAAATCATGGAGCTAAATTTTCCTTAGATCACTTGTGATGCTTTTTACCACTTTCTTCCTTCAAAGCAAATGGGTGACAGACATAGGCTGGTTATAAAGATGAACGGCATCTCAGCTCGGCTAAAGTGAAGCCAAATCATCTTGATCAGCCTCTAGTGGCCAGTTGCCGTATAGGTCATAGTCCCTCCTCGTCTACATTAGTGGATGAGACATGGGTCAAATTAAAACACAGTAAATTCCCATCATATTGATGAATGTTGAAGGTTTAATTCTACCAGTAAGTTTGGTTTTACCAGTTATTTGATGCTATAAAAACTGGTTGAAATGTCATGATTGACAGCTGAGACTAACTTGCGATTGGTCAAGAGCGTGAAAACAGGCGGGACTTAAATTGGAATATTTTAGCTTAATTTTTCGTATATAAGAGTTCAGATGCGTCATCTGTGGTTATATACAGTCTATTTTTTGTCTTGGTACTTGCATCCCCACTGTCTTCTTGAAACGTTTTCTAGCTGCAGTCTCTTTATTCAGTCTGGATGCACGGCTACACTGAGTTGCTGGATTGTGACAATTATCATGAAGTCACAGACAATTGTGGTTGATATTCACGCCAAGTCATCCTGGGCTATTCATTTGTGAGGGTGAGGGTCAAAGTGTTGGCTGAGTCATAGGTAGGCCCAGAAAATGGTTTCAGTTAAAAAAAACAATGCTTGAAGGTGGTTTAGTTCTTGTTAAGTGGTTAAAGACGAGGGAACATTGCACATTGAGCAAAGGAAGAGGCTCACCCTCATCTACTGGGAAAAGGGGAAAGTGTTTACTGCCCCACACATTCAAGTTCTTTTCTTCCCACTGCGTAAGAGAACTTTCGACCCTTTCCAGTGAAATAATGGCTCATTACAGCTGCAGCCTTTGGCAAATTTAAGCTGCTGCTGTTTACCACCTCTCCAGCTCACCAAGAAGGGGTGATCGTATTTGTTTGTTTGTACTCTGTTATTCAGTTTCTCAGTCCAGCGCTCGTGTCCGTTCAGAGAGTCGCAAAAATGGCTCTGTTAGCATCGTGAGCCGCAGCTCACACACCAGACTCTTACAGGATGACAGAGAGAGGTGATGAAAACAGAAGAGAGAGAGAGAGCTGATGTGTGAGACAGGGAGAGTTTACAGAAAGCACAGCTGTCTGGATGCTGTGTAATGTAGTGGAGATGTTACAGTGATCACGTACATTTACATACACATATAAAGAATCCTGCATATTCTTACAATAAGGATACATTCAATGGATATTTCAATAGCTGTGTGGTAAAATTATCGTCTTTATACTTTTTATTTTACTCTTACTGCATATGCATTGTGAGGATAAGAATATTAAGAAACCAGAGTCATGAATGTTCCTGTCAGATTTCTGGCATCCTCCCACGAAGGTCATTAAACTTTAACAAACACTGACGTATGATGAGCTCAAACACATCATGCAGACGTTAAGTAATTCACAATGAGCTAAATGATGGTAAATGAACTGCATTCATACAGCACTTTCTGCATTGGTCAACCACTCAAAGCTGTTTTGTCTCATTCACACACTCATTAATTCAAACATTCACACACTGATTATGCAGCGTCAGATTACTCCAGGAACCCTCTGATCATTAATTCAAACCACTGGAACATGACTTTCTCGCTCATATTCAGGATTATTAGGAAATTTAGGACACTTCCTGAGAGAAACTCTATTAATTCAAGATAACATTGTTGATGAAATATCATCGTTTAGTTCAATTACACTAAGTAAAAGTCTTCAGAGCTAAATGATAAATGTGGACATTTTAACATTGCACTTAGAATGGAATGAGGTAATGCGCTGCGGTCACAACTGGTCCAGGTTTGGATTTCGGCCAGGCAGAGGGAGGCTGTGAATAGAGGGCGTGGCCTCCAATTATCTAAATGACGGTGGTGCACTGGCAATCAGATACAGTGGCCATATACGGCTGTTGAGGAGGTAGAGAAGGTCGTTGTTCGATCTCCGTACCACATACCATTTTTGTATATTTTTCTTTATGTCGTACATTTTGCAAGTTGTTAAATCTACACAGGTTATTCTGAGTGTGTTGTTTGCTGCACAAGACCAGTTGCAAACATGCTGCATACTGGCAGCAACAGATACAGCACATTTTACAAACATAAAGAAAACTATTTATCATAACACATTATCCAGATTTAGAGATAATACATATAATATAATATAGATCTTTATAATACATCGATCTGACTACTATTCCATATGTGTGTTCCATTAAATTAAGTAGTTGCTTAGACGTATTCTTATCGTTTCTGCTTTGCTTCTCTTTTAGCTTTATTCTTTATGCTGAAATTCAGACCTTTGTCAACAGACTTTTGAGTTAATCAAAAATAAATATAAAATCATTATACACAGCAGTCAGAAATCTAACCGTCATGTCTTATAAGGACAACTAAGGGACGTTTTTAGTGCTACATCGCTGCAGCGAACAGGAAAGAGATGAAATGAAGAGAGGGGTCTTCATACCCAGGAGTTGGGCATATAAAAGGTTGAAAAGAAAAGCCAAAGACATTTGCCAGTCTCTGTACACTCTGACTTTCTGAAGAGTCACGATCCACACACCGGCCTGAGCAGGATGCTCTACGAGTGGAGATGTAATTTTCCCACAGAATAGATAGGTCAGTAGACGGTGTGTTCATATGCAACCTCCGTGGAGAACAGTTCATACGATATTTGGGTGTGATGCACGTCTTCATATATATTCTATCGAGCATTAATCATACAAGGTTTCCACAGAACAGGAAACAAGAGAAAGTCCAAGAAACAATGCTCACATGTTTTTGTTTTTCCCCTCCACATCTCTGGGTAATAAAAACACACACTAAGGGAAAAATAAAATAAAATGATAAAAATGGGAAAAGAAAAAACAGAAAACCGTGCCTCAGGGCTCAGCCATCCAACTCCTCAGGTACGTTATCCAGAGAGTCTATGAGGGACAATAAAGGGTTTCAAACCTCTAAGAGAAAACCTTCACCTCTCCAGCTTTAGATCATGTAGAGCCTCTTTCATCCACTGATCACAAGATGGGGGCAAAACGTTCTTCCAGCAGGGTGCAGAAGGCCCTGAAAGTTCTTTGTTAGGTGGGATACCAAATAGGGCAGAAAGGGGATGTGGCTCTACCACAAGATTGTAAGTTATTTGGAATGTGTCAAATACTTTAGAACAAAAGTTAGTTTATATCGACTTTAAATCAAAGTTGAGTCACATTGTGAAGCAATGGATTTAAACTGAGTACTGATCAGATCTGTTGGAACACATTGGTACCTGTGATAATCAATCAGCAGTAACAAGCCTCATGTCTGTTGTGTTGATCGAACATTAGTAGATAGTTTATTACTATAACATGTAAGAGTAACATTTGTTTTTTTGTTGAAAACTAATTTCATCCCAGATTATAACAAACAATGAATCTACTCAGAGGTTATAGGTCATTGCAGGTGTTGAAACGGCCTGTGTGGTAATGGCAAACTGTTTACATGGCTCATGGGGGGGTAGGAGGGCCCCTTGGCAGAATTCTCTTCAGGGCCCCAGGAAGGTCAGGACCCACTCTGGGCCCGTGGGCGTCAAACAAAAAACCCATTAAGTTTTTACTGACCCTGTAGTTATCATGGAACCAACCACTGACCCATCCCGAGCCTCCCAGCCCCTGTAAGTCACACGATTATTGATTTGTTTTTTACTTAAATCCCTGTATGTGTTTCAGGGTGGCCAAGAATGGTTGGAAGGTATTAAGTCAGAGTTTTTAATAGAGGAGAATTTACAGTTTGAAAAATGCTCTGTACGCCGCACAAATGCCAAATGAAACACGTGTGAAGACTTCTGAATCAAAATGAAAAATTCTCTTCAAGGGACTCGCTTTCCAGTCATTACTTATCTACACCGGAACGCTCAGATCAATGCTAATCACCTCTGTCCCCCTTTTCTGTCTTGTCCTCCTCTGCAGCTACGCTAACGTGAAGAAATGTAGCAACGAGGGCCGCGCCCTGATGCAGCTGGACTTCCAACAGTTCCTCATGAAGCTGGAGAAGCTGACCGACCTGAGACCCATCCCTGACAAAGAGTTTGTCGAGACCTACATCAAGGCTTATTACCTGACTGAGAACGACATGGAGCAGTTTATCAAGAATCACAGGGTGAGCATAGGCTGCTTTCAAGAGGGTCTGTATGCAGGAACATAGTCAGTTGTCATAGTCAGTCCGAGTACGCTAATGCTTCTGCTTTTCTGATCATCTTTATCATGCTTTTTGCGCAGGAGTATTCCATGAAGCAGCTCGCCAACTTGGTGAACGTTTGCCTGGGCTCACATATAAACAAGAAAGCTCGTCAGAAACTCCTGGCAGCCATCGACGACATTGACAGACCCAAGAGATAGACTGACCCACAGAGCCGACCCGAAACATATCAACCAACGACCTGCAGAGATGGAACAACAGGAACTCCCACAGTGTCGAATGTCTTCTGTTTTTGTCTATAACATGATGTTGAGGTGCGTTCGACGAGTTCCACAGTGCTTTCGGTAGTGGAGCTAAAGTTTATAGCTCAAATGTTAGCCAGATGCTAAACGATCAGTCTTTATATTGTCGAAAACACAACCTGCCCCTTGTTAAACGCACCTCAAGACACAATGGACAGTTATACTAAAGGTGTTTAACACTCTCAAGCATGCTGCAGTTACTAACGTACTATAACACATGCTCTCACCAGTTCATTTAACAAACATGCTGCTTTTGAACGGTTCCTGCAAATATAGTCTAACGAACATCTACAAATAACGCTGTAAGTGTGAAGTGTGCTGTAAACATGTGGCCGTTAATTTATGGCGTTCCAACTGTTTCTCGCTGAATGTGCTCAGTTTGCTGACACAGCTCCGACATCGAGATTAAAAAAAACAACGAGTGATTATTTATGAGTCACTAAATTTTAGCGTCACGTTCATTAATCATTCTTTTTAAGTTATTCCAGCTTATATGTTTCTTTGTTTTACTTGTTTAAATCTAATATAATGATGATTCTGAAAATAATATAAATTGCTGTAGTAAGCGTTAACATAGTTTAGAGATTGTATCAGCTGCATTCGTTAGCAATCTGTCATAGAGGAAATTCTTTTATTGTCCTGGGGTGAGTTCTAGAAAATCTTTGCAGAGTTAATTATCTTGGACTTGAGCCTTCATGCTGAACAGTGAAAATCGTATTTTTCATTCATTTCGTTTGGTCTTTCAGTCAAACTCTTGATTATGAGTTAGAGGTTGAATTGCGTCAACTACCAGAGCTTCCCTCCAGGCTTTTTAATGTCGCCTCCAGTCATCTCCATTAGTCTGACCTGACCAGACCTCGCCAAGGGGGGGCAGGTGATTCATGTCAAAAAGGAAAAAAAAAAAAAAGAATAAGAATGAAGTTCCAGCTTTTGATACAGGCTCATATATATATTTTGTGTGCACCTATTCCAAGATGAGTATTGTAAATGTGAATGTTTTCAAACGATGTCTGTATTTATTTCTTGCTCTGTCTTGTTTATGTTTTTATATGATCACTTCTGGAAGTGCGCCGTCATTCATCACCTCTCAGTATCTTATAACTTATCAACTGAAGCAAATACAAATATCCAAACATTATCAGAATTACAGTAAAGGGTCAAAGTGCGCTATAGTGGAAATCTGTAATCAGTGTTAGGATTATAGTTTGAAGATGATTCTAACATAATAAACATGCTAACAATGGCTGTTCTGCTCTTTCTCTTGTGTCTGAAATAAACTGGGTAACCTATAAACTATATCCTTTACAACCTTTTAACCTAAACCTTCTCTGTGGGAATATATGGTTGTTACCTTTCAGCGGCACCACTGTCCATCCTTATGATGCCTTGCTCAGCAGGACGCTGTCAGAGTAATTAATGTGACCTCCTGTGTGATCACAGGCTCTCAGCCTTCTCATTTAACAAGAGAAAGAAATGTGACAGACTCATTAAAAACTTTGAAGACTTGCTGGTTCGTTTGTTATTATTAAACATTCGTTTTCCTTGTTATGTCATTCCAGTGGGTTGGAGATAAAAAAAACACCACTGGTCTGACCTAAACCATCAGTGAAACTTGCATATATGGGCCAAGAGAACAATTAAAGAGTAACTTGTATTATTCATATTTATGTAGAATATTTTATATTTGGAGAGAAGAAAAGTAATTCAAAAATGAATTGAAGAAATAGGTAGTTATTGGGCACCAGTTGATAAAGAATACTTCTGTTTCTGAATGTAAAGATTTTATTGCAGCTGTGTCAAAGGAAAAATATGTTGTTTTCTTATTTCAAAGTTAGTTCTAATGTTATTTCCAACAGCTAGGAAACGTAGTATTTAAGTGAAATCTCCTCAAGCAATAATACTGTATCTTGTAGCGAGGATAGGAGCTTGTTGAGCCAGACGCTCAGGTTTCATTGTAGCTGCTGTTGTGGCAGCAGCTATCAGCACCATGCAGCCCCCCCCCAATCATCCAGCTGTGGGCTCTGTTCCTTCATGGTTCACCATCGACGGGTGTACGTGACTTACTCCTCCTTGGGTTTTGCTGGCTTTAAATGATGCCTCTGGTGAGCAGCAACAGGCAATAACATAAAAATCCAATTACTCTGTATTCATTTTATTGATATTGCTTAGTCCTGGATCAGTTTTACAGTTTGTGCCTTCAGACCCAGTGTTCAGCCTTTCCCTCGCAGGGATTTCCTCACCTTCCCACCATCAAACACTCTGATTCACAACACTCCCAGCACCACGGTCAATATTTGTGTGCCCAGCTGGATCTCGCCCCTCCTGTCTCCTGTGATGCCGTGGCCCAGTGACCCTTTCGGACAAAAGAGCAGACGCTCTTTGCTCCTGGTCGTCTGAACCTCTGCCAAATTTCATCAGCCAACTCCATAGAAATCACTATCACTGACCTACATGGTGCTAATTCACATTCATGCAGCCTTCATTCATGTCTGTTCATACATATTTAACTGAGAACAATCGCTGGCAGAGACTATTAATACTTAGCATGATGATTCATAAGACAGGATTTGACAGTGGGGCGGGGGGTGGCAATCAGTGCTGATTCTGTTAGTTGAGTAAAATGTGAAAAGACGACATTTTGACAGAAATACATCGAAAAAAATATCTTTAGCTCAGTGAAAGTGTTTTCTCAGGCATGAATGGGACAGTCTTTAACAATCACTGCTCTCTAAAAAGTGAACTTTGATACTGATTAGAAATCTCCCCCACTACTGCTACAACTTTTAAATATGCAAAGTTTTTTACTTATTAAATCTTATTAATCATTGTTCTGCCTGTCCCTCTGAGAGCTCAGATACTGTCCATCCCTGATCCCTCACCACACTGGATTTTTACATACTTGGGCTGATTAGAGCAGTCATCAGGTTGAATGTAGAAGGTGTGCTGAGTATTTGCAGAGGTCGTCAATGTCTCAACATCAACACAACTGATAAGGAAGGTCATTCACAGTGCATATACAGTCGTCCAAAGCAACCCCGTCTCCAATAAAACACGTCCATATACCACTGAAGCGAAACTGTAGCTTTAACTGCTGTTGATACACAGGCGTTCCAGTTGCAACTTCCGACTCAGGGGTCGGTAATTCCGAGCTCCGAGGTATAATGGAATGCGGCATAATTTTACATCAGAGCTAAAACCCTCTAATAGCTATAATAAAAATGTGCTATCCATTCTGTTTTTTTCTTCTATAGTTCTGTTAGCATGAGCTTTTCTGTCGTGAAAAAGTTCCCATCCCCTCATGTTTTCGCTTTTCCTGTCTGTGTGTTGTCTGTTCTCATTTGGTCTTCGTCTGTGTGTCCTCCATTTCAACCACACACCTGCGCCACATCATCGAGTCCACTCTTCAAACCTGAAGCCATAAAAAAGGGCATGACTCCTCCACATCTTCCTACGAGCACAGTGTTAGAAACACTTCAAGCAACCTCTCGGTCTCTGTACTTCCAATCTCTCTCGCCTCGACTGTAAGTGCAACCCATTTGAACCAAACGATTGGCACAGGGAACATTATTTCTGCCATTAAACTCACAAAAGTGGATTTGGACCAAATATGCTTCCGTATCCTTAATATGATGTAGACCATGTGCTCGGACTGTTAAACTAGAGGCTGAAATCCTTGGAGGAAAAGGCTGAAGAGCTTGTCCTCCACCATCTGGTCGTCTGTCACTAATCTGACAGACAGGAGAGCAAATACAACTCAGGAGATTTAGAAAGGGAGGAAACCCTTGGGGTGTCCGGGCAACTGGAAACAAACACACACACACACACACAC